TGTACTCTAAGCATACAAATTTCATGTAAACAAATTTGAAGGTATTTATGAAACAAACCTCAGATTTTGTTAGACCAAGTCCTCTTAGCGCCATCTGTTTCACCCAGTCAGTTGGATCTTTTCTCCTCTTCGTCAGTCAACATTCTTTTTGGACCCCGTTTGGGCACTCAATGGTTTTTTTCCCAAATAAATTAAGAAAAAGTTTGTCTTAAATTGTGATTGAGGATATTGGTCAGATGTTATGAAGTCTATGTTTACCTGATAATCGACCTGAAATGGTAGAATGTGGTATTCCTTATTGTCTAGCGGCATTTTCGACCACTAGTGGCGTTTTGACCCAGGAATATCTCATTTTTTGATGAAATTTGTCGAGAAGCGAGCTGTGGGTAGGCGAGTAGGTATGTCGATATCGATTATAGTTAGCAAATAGATTAAAATAACATTAATTGAAGTGAATATTGAGAAGAAGATTGGCATCAGACCAATTTAGAAAATATTTCCAACAGGAAAAATACATACCTAAACTCACGGTACGCTACAAGTATTATATTCTTGCGCCACCGATAAGATTTCTTGTGACGACATATAAGTCATTGTTACTGCTTATCAAATTTGCAAGATATGCTTAATTTTTTTTTTAACTTTGTAGGTGAATCAATGATTTGCGAGTATAGGTGATCATGAAGCACATTGTTTAATTTCTCTTGCAGTGTCGGCTTCTGCTTACAATTAAATGTAGATTTCTTTTTGCCATCGACCTGCAAGTTATTTAGATAATCGTGAGCAATGTTGCATTGGTAGAGGCATAAGGATTGAATAAAACCAATCTTGCACATGACATAAGCTAGCAAGATTACGATACAGATGATTTAATATTGTAATACCATTTGTAGAAATCAGCAAGTTGGTATAAATGTCACTTAATTAACAGAACCTACAGACAAGTATACTTTCCGTCTGTAAAAATTTTAAGTTTGGAACAATGAACTTCTCTAGAGTGATCTTCATTTCAGAATGCCAGATTATGCAGTAATGCTAGGCGATGTCACTTACTAATGAAATGTCCGTGGATATATTCATTTTTGCACACTTTTATCATCGTAATCTCCTTTGCTATCACTTCGCCAGCCCTCCCCTTTATATCGTTCTTTACATCCATATGCGTGACACTGATTACAAACATACACGAAAGACAGCGAGCATTATGAAAGGAAGCTTGGAAGCATAAATGCCAAAATGGCGGCGATCAACTGATCCCGCTCTGAGACAACGCAGAACGAGAGAGAAGATCGTTCCATTATATATATATTCCCAGTTCAGCGCTTATAGCACGTGTAAATTTCGATAGCTTATTTTGTTAAAATCGACGATTTTTGGACAGGAATTGGATCTATGGCGTGGCGTGCTCGTCCCCGCCTCTCTGATTATTCTGTATTGTTTCCGCAGGTTCGAATCCCGTGGGGGATAATTATGTGCGAGAGAGGACTCTTCGCCGCCGTAGAATGGTTGACGTAACCACTGGTCGGTTACGACTTCCTCCATCACCAAGTCCATGCATCTGAAACATATAACTGACTAACTAATCCCATACTCGACATGTATTGGACGAGAGAGCCATGTACCGGACGAAAGGCCATGGTTCGATGTATGATCAGGTCGTCTCATTCGTCTTTCTTCTCCCGTGGGATAAATATGCATAAGATATCCTTTTGTTAATTTTTGTTGTTGTTGATGGTGTTAATATTGTTTTTTTGTTTCTTGTTTTTGTTGTGAAAAAGGTTTCTCTTATCAACCACAGAACCAATTCCTCTGATATTTTCAGCGGTTTAAAACTATTGTTGTCGCTAGAAACCCTATAAGGCTATTTCTTTCATATATTAAAAAAAGAACTATGGGCTCTATCGGCTTCGTTTTTCACTTGAAGTTGTGTGTGATGAGGTCATAAAATTTAAAACTGTTTTTCTCCTATTAAATATCTGGGAAGATTGTATTTGTCGCTAAAAGGCTATTACTTTTATTCATTTCAAAATTTTTTGTGAGCTTCATGGGATTCGTCTTTTTGTTCGATGGCGAAATCAAATTAAAAACTACGCACCTTGTGGCGGTTCCGCATTCTTTGCTTTCTAGTGGTTTAGTGACGTCGTGAAGACTGCGGTACAGTGGTCTACTGTGACTGTACTACTTTGTGTCCATTATTTAAAAATTGCTTTCTTGTTTTGATGGGGTAGTCTATGGAATGAGAGAAAATTTATTCGTTCGTCAAACCAGTAGCCTAATGTAACAGATTTGATACTAGGCTATCTCGTTTTGGTCCTTCCCACCCTTATATTTGGGCATTGGTAATTTGGGCCGGTATTGTGTCAGTAAATATATTTCTGTAAATGCTCCCTATCTAACAATTGCCGCGTGGAAAGTTACAGAGCAACTGGTACATGACTGATATAACCGCATTCCACGTTATCTTTTGCCACGAATTGTACCGAAAAGCAGATCTCTTGTTAGGCAGTCTGTTCTGGGCACATGTCCCAAAATTGTTAATTTTCTGTCATTGATATTGTCCAGCAGTCTTCAGCATGATCCTAGCTCACACGAAAAAGTATCCACTAGCACCACAATTCGCCAGCAGCAATGTTCCTTCTGTCGATTTTCTTCAAGACCCAACATTCTGCTTCATAGCTTGCTACGACACATGAATGACTAAAAAGCTCAGGTCTGGAAGCTACAAGAACAGGATTATATTTTCATCTTGAAACTGAATTATTCTGACCAACGGTCACAAGCATAACAATTACATATATATGAATAAAAAATAATCGGAAATTAAGAAATTTCCATTCGTTTGATGAGACTATTGACCATATTGTATCAGGATATAAAGAGATGGCATCGAAAGAATATGAAGGCTTACACAAAACCGCATCTTCCTCTGATTTATAATGAAATTTTGAAAATACCCATACATCGTGACAAACAAGCCATAAAGGCGAGCTATTGTTTACACCATATATAAAAACCATCCGGCGTGAAAAAAGCGAGCGGCTTCTAACTACCAATCGCTACTTCACCCTAAACATCTGTTTCAGTAGCTACGAAGTTACTAGCTATAGTTACGAAATAAGCAAGGAAGTCAAAGAAATATGCTCGGGGTAGACAATATACACATCAAGTCGTTTCGCGACAAAACAAATTTTGTAACTGTTGGTCAGATTGACGGGTTGCAGTCAGTTAAGGTTAAATTATTTTAAATAAATTTTCTTATTTATTAGAAAAATACCTCATAAAATCGTTACGACACCATTACGGCGTCATTATAAATATATTTATATCTCTAAATATAAACTAGCTGTAGTTGTAAAAAAATTGTACCTATTTGGAAGATAACGCGATTCCACATACACAGTTTTAATCTAAGAGAGTCCGTGCAGATAAGTACTCAATATCAAGTATCGAGTTATACAAACGTCACCCGTATGTTTACTGAATCAGCCATACATCGTGTAAATTTGAAAATCTGATTTTGATGCCAAATATGTCTTCATTAGAGTAGTGAAATGTGAGCAAAACGCTTTTTGTGAAAATTTATGTATAGAATACAGAAAACTATTTTGCAAAAACAAACGAGCTTTACATTTGCATCGATATGGTATTTAATCCAAAGCAACGGTTGTAACAAGGATCGGACAACCACACAACGTGACTTTACAATCGCAAGCACAAACAAATAAAACACTTTAATATTAAATAAACCACAATAGTTTTATGCCTATCTACTTGCGTTGGCACAAAGAAACTATGTTTGCGTTGCAAATCGTTAACGGCAAGATACCCCTGTTATTATATATAATCTTGTCTGAACCAGTCCATTTCAGCCCGTTACCGCATGAAGTTAACATCATTTTTATCAAAATACTCTTGTTCCTACCTCCATACTATTTGTGAAGCAATCTATGTCGGAGTTGAAATTATTTCTTTGCCATCGAAAGAATAGATAATCGTTGTATGAAATTGTGACTGTGTCAATTTTTCGTACTTTCGAATTATTTTTTGTGCTCATTGTACTAGTTCTAGTGGTTCTCAATCTGTGGTACGCGGTTCAAACACGTAAACCAGCTTATAAACGCCAACACATCAAAACACTCTCAAAATAAGTAAAAAAAATTTTGCAATAGTAAAGTATGGAAAGAATTTTTCTGGGGTCAAGGGTCGGAAAAACGCCCGGTCCAGTCTTTAGAGATCGCCCTCGCCTGCTATTGTCAACGAACGAATCGATATGGGCATGTTTTCATCCGTCTTGCGAATTAGGTCACTGTGGATGTAGAGCCACATTATAAAATACTTCCATAGCGCGTGTCTTGTGCCATTGTTCGCCGCGCCAAAAAATGGCTTTTCCAGTGGTACGCGCCAGAGTAAAAAAAACAGTAAAGTGGTACGCGGCCAGTAAAAGGTTGAGAACCACTGTACTAGTCACTAAATATTTAAAATTGGTGCCTGCAGAAGGGAAGTCAGAAAGTTCACAGCAAAACATTTAAAAATTAGATTTTTATTCGAAAGTTGGGAATATGTAAGTTTTCACGCAGTATGGAGGGGTTTATTTGCGTGAACTTTCAGCTGTAGGTGTCAGTCTAATACTTTAATTTGACTTTCTGACCTGTTCAGTTGAGTAACAAGTACAGATCAGCCATGATCGCAAAGTATATTTTCGTTGGGTTATCTTGTTGTATTAATGTACGCAATTGACATGGGAAGTTATGGTGGGCTTAGGTCATTGCTTTCCAAGTTTTTGCACTCGGCATCTTGACAAAACTTGCGGTGGTTTTCAACCGGGTTTTCGTGGCCTCTTAAGTTCCGCCAGTACAGTTCAGTGCTTCAGCAAGTTTCCATTCAAATACGAGATACTATATTAATGTATGAATATTGTTTATATACAATCAGATGAATTGTCCATTTTTGTCAAACTTGCTACAATTGATTTAATTTGTCCATTATCAGGTTTACTTCTAGTTACACTTATAGTTTAAACGTATAATATAAAAAAGACTATTTCACAAAGGTTCCTCAAATCTCTGGAATGTTGGATTGAGGTTCCGCTCCATCGAGAAACATTGAACACCACTGGCATAAAGAATTATTTCTCTGATTTAGTTATGCATACTCAGTCAGGTGAGAACGTTTTGATTTTTATTCAAGTTCGAATAATGGGTGTGGTAGCATTTTAGATGCTTCCCAAGGACATTGGTTTAATTGGTCTGTGCGGCATAGCAGTACAAGCAAACATGCACAGTCTGGCGACTTAAGTACACGGTTGAAATATCGCCAAATATTTAAGTTGTTCTATACTCTATAGTACTACATATTGTATTATGTACTGATTTTGTGTACTTGTATGAAATATTGGAGAGGACATTAGTAAAAAATTAGGAAATCATTCTATAGACAGGGATTTGAACGTCCTGCAACATGACGGAGGGAATTGGAAATTCATTGATCGTTACCATAAAACCGATATTGTCCCTACACTAGGAAGTTAGAAATTCGATATACGGTATATAGATCCAGTTTCTATGATTTAACGATGAATTCCATAAATTGTTCGTCATGTAGGAGCCAAATTATTTGTTAAACAGGGGCAGAGTTGCTAAACACCAATTTTGCACCTCAATTCTTGGGTCAATCTCCTTGTCATTACTTATCGATCTTTAGATCGGTAGGTATTTTGATAGGTATTTGTCTGTCTGTTAGATGCACGCGATATCTCACGAAGGCGTGGTTGACTCTGCTCCATTTTGCATGTGCATTCATCATATCTCGGACCACAAGCCTATTGCATTTGGATAAATTACGTCGTATAATTAGAAAGTTATTAATTAATTAGTGATAGGACACACGGTGTCACTATAGAGTCATGGATCGAAACCGCAGTTTCGATCGATAAGTCTTCGGTCTCCGGTCGATATTCTCGTTCTATGAGTTGATGAAAATTGAAAACAATAACTAAATTTTACTACGTATTCATACTATGTTTTCAGAAAAAATAAACGCTCTATGATGAATACCTGGAAAGCAAATCACCATTAAATTTGTATACTTACTTTTGAGACACCCTGTACACTGTATAAATTACCGCTCTCCAACGGAATTTCTATGCTGAATTTTTTCAATTGTTTCAAGTCTTGTTTTTTCAATTGAATCAAGCATATAAAATATATTCTTCTTTCTGATATTAGAATATTTTTGAAATTAGAATATTGACAAAGCAGGTGAGATCAGATTTGTGCAATCAAAATGTTTTCAAATATATTTATGTTAAAGTTTTCGTTCTTAACAGTCATACCAACTGACTGACGAGTATTCGGTCCTAATAAGCATTGTGACTTTACACAAATGTTGATTATCCAAAACAAAAAACCCTTTATCCAAAACGTTGTCTTGTCGAATTCGAAGTCCAATTTCTTTCTCATGATATTTATGAGCAATTATCTAGACCAGAAATGAGATTCCGTAACGCACCCCAGACTATAGTTGTCAGTAATGGATCATGTATTCCAATTTGCGGTAGGTCCAGTCCGACGGGTCCAAATTTGGCACTTTGCAGTGGTCAATTAAGTTTATCGCTGTCTTATCCGATAAGCTTTCAGGGTAATCGAGTTTGGAATGTACGTACGACAAAAATTTTGTTTGTTACTTATCGATTTTAATCGGTAAGTATGTTGATAGGTATTTGTCTGTCTGTATGTATGTCTGTTAGATGCACACGATATCTCACGAAAGCGGGATTGAATCTGCTCCAGATTTTGCATGTGCATTCATCATATGTCGGACCAGAATCCTATTGATTATGGATAAATTATGTCGTATAATTAGCGAGTTACTAATTAATTAGTAATTGGACACAAAGTGTCACTATGGAGTAAGAGCGCTGTTTTGGGGGATCCCCTAACTTTCGATCGATAAGTCTCTGACCGATATTCTCGTTTAATCCTTCTAGAGTATTAGTAGGCAGTTGTTTCTCATCATTAAAAGTTTTTTTCTCATCTAAAAGTCTCATTATTGAAGCAGTTTCAACTCCGACGTCAGTAAATTCCAAATTTCAACTTCCACTAGCGCTCAAATCCAGGAAATTTGTAAATAATACTCCGACTCCAGTGAAACCATGTGAAACTCCGGCTTCACGGCGTACCTACTTTGCAATTTAACGAGAATTATTTTATATTTTGCAAGTGGAGAATTCAAAATCCTACAATAGTTTTTTGAAGCCTCATAAACACATATTATTAATCCTTAAATAATTATAATTCACATTACAATACAGAAATTCACATTCTCCTGATATTCCAAGTTCCCTAATATAACATACATCAGGAATGTCTATGTAAAACAACATTTCCAACTAAATAATATAAGCAGATATCATAAAATTACTTGATATATAATGCATTTGATAAAAATACTCATTTAAAATTTGCAAGTCATTAACATGAAAATAAATTAACACAAGAGAGCAATGCTCAAATATATCGACACCAAATGCAAAACGCCTTAGCACGCGTAGAGGCAATCTGCCGCAGGGGACTGCCGCCACTCATAAAAAGTGTTCCCGTAAATGAAATATCGAATCTCGCAAAAAATTTAGGGATAAATAAAAGTCATAGCTTTATAGAAACAAAAACAATCTTTAATCACGGAAATTACAAAGTAATTGAAACAGTAGTTAACGAGAAAATCGATTTGTTTCTCTACAAGGAAAGAAAATACAAACGCCAAGAGGAACAAACAACAACAACATAATAACAAAACGATACATAGGTCTATTTCGTGTCCAAAAAAGCGTTTTTCTGCACAACATATTTACTTTTACGATTGTCTCATCATTCAAATATTAATTTTCCCATTTTAAACTCCGATTCAAGTAAGATACAATGTTAATTTTTAAATTATAATTAAAGAATATTACGAATGGTAATAATTCTTGCGGAAACCTATATTTTAAGTGAAAAAATATTAAACCAAAAAAAGAGGGAACGCTGTATGAGGAACCAAGTTTTGCTTTACAGGAGTAAAAATATGGATTTAAGATTTTTACATTCACAATAAATTAAAATAAAATGTCTTCAACATAATACTAAAACCCTGATGAGCATCCATATTTTTCGGGGTACAATTTAACGAAATTCTCGTGTTGAATGAACGTTTTCCGCAGTAAAAGAGAAATATTATAAAATTTCATCAGGACATTTTAAAACATAAATTAATGTCACTGCAAAATTTTCAGGTTGATCGTTGTTATAATAACTTATTCTACTATTCTACTCTACTTTTTTCAATTTTCGCTATAAACCAACACAACGTAACTGATTTCGTTCATCTGTAGTTAGCGCCAATCGCATTGTGTGGAATACTCTTAACCCCAATGTTTTTCGACTAGTAAATTTTCACAATAATGTACCGATGCGATTATACACAAACCAAGTAAATAGTCTAACCCAGATTTTACTGAATGCTGATGAATCATTCAATGTATAAACACCATGAAACATAACAAATAATTCTATCCCCTTATTGTATCAAACAAAATTGGTTAATTTTGTTATGATCTATATCGCAAAAATTAAAATTAGTGTTTTTAACATACACACTTTAATCACAGGCTATTTTGCGACCCTATAACAGAGTAACAAAACATCGTTTATCAAGAGCATTGGAATTACAGAAAACTACGGTGCGAACCAGCAATAATGTAAAATTCGAATACACAGCTTGCAAAAAGAACTTCGCAAAATTAAAAAATTGATCAAAAACTCTTTACAGTATACTTTACGCAACAACGTTAGACAACTTTCTAAAAATCAGTAATCTTTACCTCTGAAAATACATGCGAAAGCTCAAATATACGACCATAAGCACTGGAAGAAACATCACAAGAAATTTCATACCCCAATATCAAAATTTCAAAAAGTAATGTATTGGTTCTATATAGACACCAAAAAGCTGAAATATAAACGATGATTTTCATACAGATAAACAACAATCATAATTGACTATTAAAAAATAAGAGTAATCTAATACACCGATTCTAATGTCTAAAAAATCAATGATTTCCAGCGATCATGTGGTAGGAATGATTAAATAATTTCAATCTCTCATTGCCGACCATTGAATATCCTTCACATTTGGCAAGTTATGGCCGTATAAAAATTTTCATATTTAGTTAATATAATACTATCATAAAATGCAGAAGTCCCACTCGCAATTTTTTTTTACTACTTTGCTAAGAGTTTATATCTATTTTACAAAGCAAAAATGTAAATCGTAACTCGAACACAAATGACAACATGTCCATTGATTTGATTGTCAAGTTATGTCCTTCAAAACCCAGATGCGCAGCGGGAATACTGGCAATTTTTCTCCCACGGCGAGTAAATATTTCGTTTGCTTATACCAGACATCAAAAAAATTACAGTTAATCTGACGACAAATTACTTCTGATAAAAAACAATCTAAATCGTTTCGCTCGCACTAATCCATATTAGACAAACGATCAAAAATCTTTCGTACGCCGAATGATTACAAGCTCTAAGCAAACAAAATTTTTCTGTTACGTTCATTTCAAACCGCGTTACCCTGAAAGCTTATCGACCAAGGACTGAATCCATCGGACCCACCGGACTGGACCCACCGCACTCTGGAGCTCATGATCCACTACTGTTTTCCATATGACTTCCTTGAAGGTCCCTCAATTAAATATAGTTAACCAAGATATATTATAGTTATGAGTTTCCAGGCAAACAGATGTCGAATATTCAGTATTTAAAAAAACTATTATAAGAATATTCAAATGTCGCCAATTGCGATCATTATCTGCGGCGTTATTTTTGTATGTTACCGTTTTTGTATCATTTTTCGTACATTTTTATTTATCTTTTTTTTTGTGTTAAATAACTTAGGTCAATTTTACCCTTTTCTGTCAATTTCTTTCCCACTCGAAAAAGATGTTCTGACAACATATCTACCATTATGCAACTGGAATCTGCAGTCAGCTTGACTAAACAAATCGGACAAAAATGAGTGCAGAATTTTTTTAAGCCCCCAAAATATTAATGGTTTTTCATTTGTCTAATATTTATTCCAAGTGAAAATATCTTCATATTTTGGTTTGTTTATTCTCATTGAGGATGTCGGTGTCACCGTCACGATGAGGATGTCGGTTTTATCACAACTATACTCTGTATATTTTGAACATGCTTGTGAGCTGTCAGCCCTAAAGATACATAGATCTTATAAATTTGAGTTCTTCCTGTTAGCAACTTTTGCAGTACATTTACGAGTTCAATTTAATTTAAAGTGGGTATTTCTAAATATTTTTAACTTTCCAATTTTACGTGAGATTGGGACACCGTTGAGTGAGCGATTGTATATTTTATACTTATTTTCTTGAAACAGCCATACGTAGTATAAATTTGAAAATATAATTTTGATTTCTATGCCAAAATATCTTTATTTTAATTTTATCACGCAACTATAACGTTTCTTCTTGTGGAGATATATTCACAGAGAACAATCTTTTTTGCGAATACAGACAAGCTTATTTTACCACAATAGGGTGTTTGCAAACAATGATCCTGAGCAACGGTTGTTAGCGGCTCGGATAACCACATAAAAAAATAAAACCTATTAATATTTAACCACAATAGTTCTGAAATTAATAACGCCGGTACAAAACGTTATGCTTGCGTTACAAATTGTCAGCGACAAGTAACAGTAACAGTTCAGAGTAACAGTTCCTCTGTTATTTTATCAGAACTTCTTGCCTAAACCAGTGTATTTCAAAGTTAGCATCATTTCATCGCGTCTTAAGATTTTGTTGTCTTTAAATAAGTATTTGTCAACATCGAGCTACGTTTATTCCACAGTATACGATTGGCAAAAGCTGTAACCGTCACTTCAAAATGGCAAATTTCACACATAAACTGATCTTACTAAAATTCCAATGCTTCTTTTATTCATACTCATAGTTTATACTCTATATCAGGGCTTCCCAAACTTTTGAGCTCACGGCCCCTTTTAATATATTAAAATTTTTTGCAGCCCTTGTTCGCGTTAATAATGCTAAACAGTTTGAAATAGGTACTTTTGATAGTTTAATGACGCAGCTAATTCTCAACTCTTAGTAGGCCTACTCAATAACAAAAACAAGCACATATTTATTATTTACTCAGGTTAATGGTCAGAACATTAAAAGCCAGTTAATCAGTCAGTATCCAGTCAAGGAGCAGATGAAGAAGATAGGACACAGGACACAATAGTTAGGAGTAGGAAATATATTACAATGTAATTACATAAAATGACAATAAATATTTCTTCAAAACTGATATTGCCACAACACAGCAATGCGGGATTAAATCTGATTGAATTTTTTTGTTTAGTCGGTCTCAAGTTTTCAAAAGTTATGTCATGGAATGTATTCATTGATTCAATTATCCTTCTCGTAAATTATGTTTTTTCCTGATGCATACGATCCCTGTGTAAACACGACGTTTCTGAACCTTATGACCGAATTCCAAATATAAGTTATAAATATGAAATAGTTTCTACCGATTGCTTCAATTGTCAAATTGTGTACGTGATATAAAAGTCTTTGTTTGCCCGAACATTTATACAGGGTGTCTTAAAAGTAAGTATATAGTTTTAAGTTTGCTTTTCAGGTACTCATCATAGGGCGTTCATTTCTTCAGAAAACATAGTATAGATAAGTAGTAAAATTTAGGTATTGTTTGCATTTTTCATAAACCCACAGAATGACAAGGAGATTAACCCAAGAAATTAGGTGCACAATTGCTGTCTGGCAAGAAGAAGTAGGGCAAACCTAGCGCATTTAAACAGAGAATTTGAAATGAATTCGGCTCTGAACATTTATATATACGCTCTATAATGAGTAAAGCAAATCACAATTAAAAGTGTATAGGGCCACCTTACTTTTGGGACACTCTGTACACTGTAAAATTACCGCTCTCCAACGGAATTTCTATGATGAAATTTTTTTCTCAAGGATATCCGCTTTGAGGAGTTCATTTCCGTCCTCAACGGCCATACCAACTGACTGAAGAGTATTCGGCCCTAATAAGCATTGTGACATTATACAAATGTTGATTATCCATAACACAAATCACTTTCTCCTAAACGTTGTCTTGTCGAATTCGTAGTCCAATTTCTCTCTCACGATATTTATGAGCAATTATCTAGACCAGAAATAAGATACCGTAACGCACCCCAGACTATAATTGTCCATATAAGATCCTTGAAGGTACCTTAGCAAAATATATTTACCCAAAGTATATTTTAGTTATGATTTTCCAGGCAAACAGATGTCGAATATTCAGGAAAGATGAAATAGGAATCAAAGATTGAAAGTAGGATAAATGCATCACAAAGTTTTTGGACACGAAATGAACATAGGAATTGTTTTGTAATTATGTTGTTGTTATATTAAAATGATAGTAAATTTTAATAATGTTAGTTAGACTGCGGGTTCTAATTTTTCAGAAATCAAGTGGTGCAAATGTTTTGCAGCTCCTAGCGAGACAGAGACAGTCACCACATCTCCTATTATCACTTTTTATTTATACCTTTTTATTAGGTTGAGGTCTTGAAGCGCTTCTCTGAATATATAATATATTATAATAATAATATTATAACTCAAATGGTTTCACGGAAAGATATAGAAAGGCTTGCCCTAAAACCAGCGATGGGTCTCTAAGAACTCAAGAATTAAATTTTTCACAATGATCATTATTTTGTGGATGGTCTCAAGTTTTCAAAAGATTTGAAACCCAATTCCTTCGTCTTGCCATAAAAACCAATTATAGAAATGACTTTTGGTTCTATTTTCATTCATACTATATATGATTATTTTCTAGGGTTCAAACTGGAATTCCGTAGCTAAAAGGTTGTCGATTTTGTTTCATTTTTTGTTTGCTGTTAACTATTTTTTTAATTTATTTTCCATTCAAAAGTAACATTTTGATAACGTAAATGTCATTGGGCAGTTGTGTCTTATTTATAACTTTTTTTCCTGATCTCGTATGTAAAAAGTGTATTTTCGATGTGGTGATAAAATAAACTACTGATTACTGATTACTTTATTTTTTGTTTTAGATTCCAATCTAATTTTAGTAATTTAGAATGCTGAAGCATGAAAATGTTCTCCACATGGAAATGTTTACTTTTTGGATTGCTAGTCGTCCATGTCGCTTTTTTCCTTAAAGTAAGTTGTAAATATTTTTATTGCTCTTGAACATGCTTGTTTTCAATCTTTTTTTTTTGCGTTCATTATGAAAACTAGAGTATGTGCACTATAAGTGTGTTGTGATTAAAATTGTGTGATATTTTCCAATCTAGCTGTGACGACTTCTTTTGCAAAAAATAGTACTGAATCTTTAAAATGAAATCATTCATTCAAAAATATATTTGACCTATTTTATCAATTACCTCCAGTTTAAGGAAAAATTTATATTTAGTTATAGTTGACAAAGTGACAATTTGACGAATGACAAAAAAAATAATATGTTTATTTTTTATGTGTTTTCTTGTGTAGATAAAACATTACCTACACCGGAAATCCGAACATAAACAAGCTCTCAGTGAAATTGAACTTCGACAAAATTATAGGAAATCCAATCTGCACAATGGGTGTCTTCGATTAGGCTTGAACAAGCCTATGGTGACGCAAACTGATGATATACGCCAAATGCTGCAGCAAGTCAAGTTATTATATTCCGATAAATACAAGGTAAACTCATATGTTTGGACAATATACTCTATGCTTCTGTGCTCTATGCTTTATAATGCACTTCTCGATTCGTAGTTGTTTTGGCCTAAGTGGGTAATCTAAATATATATTGCAAAACTTAATAATTTTATTGTATTATGAAATCACTCATCAAAGTTTTTGACTAACCCTATTTTTATAGTATCAAAAAAGCGTAATCACAAAGGTGGATTGAATACTTATGTCACTATATATGTAAAAATCCACCGCAATAATTGTTTTAGTATACTAAGGTCAGCAAACGTAGATTACTGAGGAAATTGTTAAACGCTGAAAATGTTGCTAATGTACGAAACATCGTCCAAGGGCGAAGTCGTGCAATATTTAGTAATCACAAATCATTAACCGTATACAAATATTTAAATTCAAACATCAGTTAGTGACAGGCCCTCCTTCGCGAATTACGTATATAGTGCGTACATAGTTCATACTCATGAACTATGGTGTTTTTTTACTTTACTTTGGTGAATTTTGGTTCAACTGTATTGTATTTTGTTGCAACTTTTCTCCAACCTCCGACTCCGAATGTATTGAAAGTATGGTTTTCTTTCACATTTTTTGAAAATACCTATATATATCTTGTTTAATTTCAGTTTTTGGTGTGTGAGATTCCTAAATGTGGATGTTCAAGCATAAAGAAATTACTTCTAATCACGGAAGGTATAGTTAATGAGACAAATCCACAGGCAGTGAAATCATGGCTTGCTCATGAACTTGGCGACAAACATCTGGACTTGAAAAACATCAAAAATGTCACTGAGATTCAGAAGCGACTCGATACGTATCAGAAACTCATCATTGTAAGAGATCCACTGTACAGATTATTATCAGCATATATAAATAAATTAGAGCATGAGTATCCTTGGAATCGGGGATTTGCTAAAATATCAAAATATATTCACCAACAATTTGTAAAAAACGAAACAGGAAAGTTGGCTTCTTTTGGAGAGTTTCTTTCCTACCTAACAGAAGAAAACGAGTATGATAGACACTGGGAACTTTATCACAAATTGTGTTTACCTTGCTCAATATCATACGATTACATTGCTCACATTGAAACCATTGATGACGACATGGTTGATTTCATGGATAAACTTGCAATTACAAATATAACGTTCCCCCGAAATTACGAAAAGTCAAAACAGACCAACACAGACACATTTGAACGATACATTGGTGAAGTACCAGAAAACCTAGTAAAAGGTATACGCAAAAAGTATAAGACTGACTTCGATCTCTTTGGCTTCAAATAGGAAGGATATAAAATTTCAGATGTAAACAATGAATAATTTGTGCCAAATGTATACGTTAAATTCAATTAACACCTAGCTACTATTTCTCATTATTTGCCAATATCTCAATTATATACTTTACTGATTGGGCATGTTACAGATAATAGACGTGGTTACTGGCGGTGTCTCAAAACTTAATACGAAACTATAAATAAATCAGTTTATTTTACAACACCCAGGCTAGCGTTCATACAATAGGCAACACAATGTAACAATCGGGGTCATTATGACGTTATTTGATAAATGCGAACCTCACATTTATGCCTCAATGTTGTACGGTACCAATACCGTAAACTTGATGCAACTGTCTAGTTCCCAGAAATGTTTTATTAGAAGACACAATTTTGATATTGTTACAACTAGACAGTGGTGGGATTCAGCCGGTTCGCACCGGTTCTATAGAACCGTCTCACGGAATTTTATGAGATCAGCGAACCGGTTAGCATTACTGGTTACTTTCAATGTTCTGTTTGCAACAGAACCGGCTGAAAAATAGGACTTTTGTGAAGGAACCGGCTGACAAAAAATTTGAATTCCACCACTGCCACTAGAGAATGCCAGTTCCACTGAAAATTAATGTATTTCTATTGTTATGTATTGCTACTGATCTCCATTATTTGTTTCTTTATTTAGTTTTTGCTTATCCCAAATGTCTTGTAGACCCGATGACGGAGCAATCCTTTCTTCACAACTCCTGTCATTTTCATTTTACTCAAGAACTTTTATGTTGAAACTTATTGATTCAAGTGAAAATTAAAATAACTCTGACTCTGATATGCAGGTGCGGATAATACAGGGGGAAGCACAGAATTTATTTTAGCCGACCATTCGTTATTTTCATTGGTATTTTCAACGAAATTTATATCCATAATAGCAACGTGCTATATGACGTTATTCTTTTTCAACTCATGACTGGCTGAAGATGGAAATGTAACAGATTCAAATGTGAACGCTAAATACTGTACTTTTATTATCCCTGTAACGCGAGCGTTTTCACACCTAATTCACCGCAGTATCAGTTACCAGCAGGGTTGCCATACCGTGCTTATTTCTAAGAAATGACCAGATGTTTTGCGTACAAAGCTTGCGTGGAAACGAGGGACGAACTTTTTCTGTCAACGGTGAGGTTTGGGGTATTTCCAGGCAAACAGTGACACACACAATAGTTGCTGCTAGTTTTTAGGAATACTGTTTTTAGGGACAAACTGCAATTTAGAGTAAGCGGTAAGAGTAACCATGAGTTCTGTTTCGAACATGAAAAGAAATTTTCTATCAACTACTGCTATTGCGACATCGAGAAAGGTGGAAAACAGTAATCGGTGCCCACAATACTACCATAAAAACACATGAAGCATTGCGGGAAACCAAAGTATGAGGACTTTAGATTCGAGGTCGGCCACCTGCGGGTCATATCCGGCACACGGAGTAAAATAATCCGGCCCACAGTGCTTCACTTAAACCTACGGATCGTTATTATGTTATTCTTGTTCTTTATCAATAATTCGTTTTCCAATCTTTATGAAAAAGATCGCTTTTGTTTTCAATTACTTAACCAAAATGAAATTTTCCTTGCGAAGAACTAGGATGGACCTTTCCCCGACCTTTGATCCCCGGAAAATTTCTCCTATACTTTACCATTGCAAAGTTTTCGGGGCTATTTTAAGAATGCTTTTGCGAGGTGGCGCCTATAAAATGGGGTATGTGTTTCAAACCATCATTATGATTCATCGCATACAACAATCTGTTTTTTAAAAGTACCGGTAACGAATTTCAGGCTAATATATCACAGCTATTTCTACAATAATTTTTATTACTGCAATTAAATTGAAACTCCTAAGGAGACGGAGTGATCATTGAACTATCTGATTTATATTTAAGTTTCCGAAACATAACTGAAAAACTAACGAATAGAGTTCAAAACTCGAAACAAGGTAATGTTTACAACCACGCTTGGAATCTGTCTGAGTGAGAAAAAGTGTCTGAGCGGAATGCGAAAAGGGGCATTGTTACGTCCACTTTTTGCATCTTGCTGATTGGCCAATGTCACGAAGTAAACAAGGAAGTCGATGCTCGGTGGAAAGGTCCATTAGTGATAGACATTTAGGAAAATTTCGATTTTATCTAGTGTTGTCACCTAATGTCGCATTAAATGTTATTTGTAAATATTTGGTATAACAAGAGAGCTATGCTCAAAATATAGGACACAGTAGAGCTCACATAAATTGATGACGTCATAGCGAAAAAAAAGTAATAGCCTTCTGGAGGAAAATTTTTATTCTTTAACCACTGAAATTTCAAAGCAATTGGTCCAGTATTCGGAGGAGAAAAGCGACTTTTTAAAAACCGTGTCAAGAACAAGAACAACAACATAATATTGAACGATCCGTTATGTCCACTACGGTGTCCAATAAGACGACTTGAAGTCCACGAGTTATCGAAGTGTTTGCTCGCTATTAGACCTTTCCCCGAGCATCGACTTCCTGTTTACTTCGTGCATTGGCCAATCAGCAAGATGCAAAAAGTGACCCGTAACAATGGCCCCCTTTGTCGGCATCCGCTCAGACACTTTCTCACTCAGACAGATTTTCAAGCGTGGTTGTAACATTACCTCGTGTTCGCATTTTTGAACTCTGTTTGTAAGTTTTCAGTTGAGTTTCGGAAACTTAAATAAAAATCAGATAATTCAATGATCACTCTGTCTTCCTAGGAGTTTTAATTTAATTGCAGTAATAAAAATTAGTGTAGAAATAGCTGTGATAGACTAGGCTAAAATTCCTTACCGGTACTTTTAAAAAACAGATTGTTGTATGCGATGAATCATAATGATGGTTTGAAACACATACCCCATTTTACAGGCGCCAAATCGCAAAAGGACTCTTAAAATAGCCCTGAAAACTTGGCAATGGTAAAGTATAGGAAGAATTTTCCGGGGGTCAAAGGTCGGGGAAAGGTCCATTAAAGTCCGAAATTTGAATTTCTAATCTGTATAAATAATGTGCTTCATCTGCCACCCGTTCAGTTTTTAACTTCCTTGAAAAATATGTGCGGCCCGCCAAGATTCGTAACACTTGGTTTTAGCCCGGGAGCGACAAAAGTTGCCGACCCTTGTCTTAGAGATCGCATGTGGCAGTGACTCCGTGTCTTTCCATAGCTTTTTGCAATTTTGGAGCTGCGTACAACTATGTTCGAAGCGACTTCTAATGATAAAAAGTGGGAGACTCGTGTATGATCTCATTCTATTCTGCGTTTCTGCCGTTGTTAAGACCCCTCCCCTTGAAAAATATCACTTTGACGCCCGTGCTTATTTTTGGTTCTGGGTTGATGGAAACCCTAGTTACCAGTCATCAAAAGTCACTTTCAACAACCTCACGATTCGTCGTTAGAAATTCCATCCACTTCTTCAATTTAGGGATTTTTCGCCTTAACCACCGCACTTTCCGTTGAATAAAATTTGATCCACTCCTTACTTTGGGGTCCCCCCCCCCCCCCGATTCCTCATGTACGGCGGCTTCCAGTCCGGTTACCAGTCCATAGAATTAATCAGCCATGTATTTGTTTTAGATGCATGGACTTGATAGTGGGGGAAGCTGTAACCGACCATCGGCTATGCCAGGGGTCGGCAACCTTTTGTCGCTCGCTGGCCAAAATTAGGGGTTACAAGTCTTGACGGGCTGCACATATTTTTCAAAAGTTGAAAACAGAACAGCGCGCGAAGACTGCGACTTTTCGTGAACTCAACTCAGTCGTCATATTGAAAGAAAAAAATTACAAATGACATTTCTTGTTGCTGCATCACGCTCGATAGCTTTTCGACATTGACGGCACACTGAATGAAGCCACGATTGGAACACTTTCTAAATGGGCATTACATAGGGTTACCATATTTTTGTGACTCCAAATCGGGACACCTCAAAAGACAACGACCCCTTAGCTGTAATTTTGTAACTTCACATTTTCCGATTTTACTACATTCATACATTTAAAGCTGTCTTTATTGACCATATTATTATCGAAATTTCATGCGCATATTCTCTGTCCAAATATCGGGTTCAGTTCGAAAAATAGGAAGTAATTGACGTTAACGATACCGGTACAAATAATTCGAATTTAGACTAATTAATATTGGTTTTACATGCGATACGTCTGCCATCAATGGGAATCAGCGGGAAACGAACGCATTCACCTTCAGTACGTAGGCTAGCGCTGCGCTACACAGAAACAAAAGTAACGAGAACATGTTTGTGTATTATGCTGAAAAAGCGGGACTTTTGGCTGACTTATCGGGACGGCGGGACAAAACGCTAAAAAGCGGGACTGTCCCGCTTAAAGCGGGGCGTATGGTAAGCCTAGGCTTAGGTCATTGCTTTCCAAGTTTTTGCACTTGGCATCTTGACAAAACTTGCGGTGGTTTTCAACCGGGTTTTCGTGGCCCCTTAGGTTCCGCCAGTACAGTTCGATGCTTTGTTTCCATTCAAACACGAGATTCATTTCTCTGATTTAGTTAAGCATACTCGGCCAGGTGAGAACGTTTTTATTTTTATTCAAGTTCAAATAATGGGTGTGGTAGCAAGCAAATATGCACAGTCTGGCGACGTACACGGTTGAAGTATCGCCAAATGTTTAGGTTGTTCTAGTACTACATATTGTATTGTGTACTGATGTTGTGTACCTGTATGAAATAATGGAGAGGAGAGGACATTAGTAAAATTAGAAAATCATTCTATAGACCATTGGTTCTTAAACTTTATTGAGCGGCGTCCCCCTTTGAAAAATTTTACACACTTCGCGCCCCCCCCCCTCTTTTTGCTTTGAAAAAATGCTTTCGTGATGGACAAGTTGTTATATATTAGGATGGCGCTATAACTGAGTGTTGGTCTCATAGCGTCATTGCTCAGATTGTTTAGGCATAAAACGCTTCGGAGTACATCTTCGCCATTCACTGTCGTATGTATAAAGCCAAATAATGGTTGGTCATCATACATTCTCGTTTTTCCGCTCAGTTTTCAATACTTGGCAAAGTCAATCTAATTATTAAGTAAAACTAAACAAGCAATAAACCTATGCTTTAATGTATTTTCTGCTTAAACGTTTACATAAGACACGTAAAATTGCAATTAATTGTTGTCGCTAAGGCATTTGCGATTGCATTTTGTATAAATCTCCATTGTTTACGTCAGCGTGGCGTGTTATTTAAGCCCAAAAAATCTTGATTTCGGTGTTTATTCTTCCTAAATCCGAAATTTCCCTCAACATATTCTTGAGCCGCGGGGACGATTATAATTAATTTTTTTGTTCTCGAATGGAACCATAACACCTCTGAGGGAAACGAGTTAGTTTTATTATAATCATCAGCGACGAGATGCTAAAGATAGAATAAAGAAGTGAATCCGTAACTTAAAATTTCTTTATTGTAAAAGTGGCATTATAAAATACTAAAAATAAAACGGAAAACGACATGAGTTTTGTTTCGGGGTGGACCACGACCTTGTAAATAAATTCCTTGTGCGTGCGGCACACCAGTAGTGTTCTAAAACTACAGACTTGATATAAATTTTACTCCGTGGGATCGCAGGAATATCTGTAACTGTGATATCTTGAAATTAATTGAGTGGCGGCATTGCGATAGAGCGGAGTAAGAGTTGCAGGGACAGCTCATATTTATTATAACACGAAAAAGCCGGTATTTTTAACGAACGCGGAGACCGTTTCAGGAACCGTTACATATAAATTTCCGATTACATCTTGTGACCTCTCACGCCCCCCCCTGTGAGCATCTCGCGCCCCCCCCAAGTTTAAGAACCACTGCTATAGACAGTGTCTTGAACGTCCTGCAACATGACGAAAGGAATTGGAAATTCATTGATCGTTACCGTAAAACTGATATTGTCACTATACTATCAAGTTAGAAATTCGATATCATATCTTTGTTCGGTCGGTCCGACGTTCTCAAATATATGTCATCTCAAACACAAAACACGTTAAACTAACTTTTGATTATTGAGGGATCGCAAATGAATGTAGTTGGCTACGAAGTAGATTTGGGTTGTTTTGCAAGATTGTTATTGATCAGGTTGTCAATTATCTTATTTGTATAATTAACTACTCTCATAGATTTAAAATTACCAGTATTTAAAGAAGGCTATTCTTTTATATGTAAATCGTTGGATACCCAAGTACGTAGGCCTAAACATAAATTTTCCGAATTTCGATTTAACATCATTCATAAGCTAATCCGAGTATTGTATGAATAAATACAAAGAAAATTGACACCCATTACTGACATTTTCCTGTAGAATACAATGAAAAACTAATTTGAAATTATTAAAATACCGTTAATCGCGAATATATATTATATACGGCGTTTCTTTTGTATATTATTTTTATTCAGATTAAAAAGATGTCGTTTTTATTTTGTTTTTGTTAATTATTTTTAGCATTCCATAACTTAATTGAACGTTACCCTCTACTGTAATTTTTGTTTCTGTTCGGTACATATTGACAACAGATCCATCATTGGGAAGTTCATTTTGCAGTTGCAATCCAGTAGCCTATTTTACATCTACATATCGTACCTATGATGTGCAGGTGCATAACGTCTAGTTACCCCTTAAATTAACATCATTTTATCATGTCTTTAAATTATGGGGTCCCCAACCCCATCCTTAGTGTCAAGCAATCTAATATTGGTTTACATACTTGAAACTTTCGTTATCGAAACAATGGCTAACCTGTTAGAAAATTGTGAATGTCGATCATCCAGACATCCAGCAGCAGTATTAATATTTCGTGCTCATTGCACGGAAGTTACAGACAGGAAAGTTACAGCAAAAACATTTAAAAATTTGATTTTTATACGAAGGTGCATTTATTAAATTTGGCAATCAGAAATATGAATTTTATGCGTATTATGGATGGGTATATCTGCAGGGTATATTATAAATTTGTCACCAATTTAGACGAGTAACAGGTGACCAATTTGAAAAATGTTTGTTTGTAGATGTAGGGAAATCTCTCTGTAAATCCGTACTCGGCAGCTTCACAGAGAAGATAGTACCTAGATCTCTTACTATGTACTGCTGCAGTATTTCTCGAAAAAAAATTTTACCTGTAAGAAAAGTCGCAAAAAAACATCAATAACTGATTAATGGTCAGAACATTAATAAGCCAGTGAGTCAGACAATTCATGTGGTACACGGGAAAGAATAGTTTTAGAGAAATATGTATCCAGTCAAGGAGCAGATGAAGAAGATAGGACACAGGACACAACAGTTAAGAGTAGGAAATATATTACAATGTAATTACATAAAATGACAATAAATATTGCTTCAAAACTGATATTGCCACCACACAGCAATGCGGAATTAAATCTGATTGAATTTTTTTGTTTATTTGGTCTCAAGTTCTCAAAAGATATGTCATGGAATGTATTCATTGATTCAATTATCCTTCTCGTAAATATGTTTTTTTCTGATGCATACTTTCCCTGTGCAAATCGATGATTCGTCTCTGTATGTATAATGACTGGTTCTCCCACGACGTTTCTGAACCTTATGACCGAATTCCAAATATAAGTTATAAATATGAAATAGTTTCTACTGATTGCTTTAATTGTCAAATTGTGTACGTGATATAAAAGTCTTTGTTTGCCCAAGCCCCGAACATTTATACAGGGTGTCTTAAAAGTAAGTATACAGTTTTAAGTTTGCTTTTCAGGTACTCATCATAGGGCGTTCATTTCTTCAGAAAACATACTATAGATAAGTAGTAAAATTTAGGTATTGTTTGCATTTTTCATCAACCCACAGCCCACAGAATGACAAGGAGATCCAAGAAATTAGGTGCACAATTTCTGTCTGGCAAGAAGAAGTAGGGCAAACCTAGCGCATTTAAACAGAGAATTTGAAATGAATTCGGCTCTGAAAATTTATATATACGCTCTATAATGAGTAAAGCAAATCACAATTAAAAGTGTATAGGGCCAACTTACTTTTGGGACACCCTGTACACTGTACAATTACCGCTCTCCAACGGAATCTCTATGATGAAAATATTTTCTCAACGATATCCGCTTTAAGAAATTCACTTTCCGCAGCTGCGTCCCTGACAGTGTCGTTGAATTGTTTCAAGTCTTGCACCAATAGCTGGCGCTTCTATCTACACGAGAGGAACGTTATGTACACATCAGTCTCATAAGTTTGTGGATATAAAATATATTCCCCTTTCTAATATTAAAATATTTTCAAAATTAGAATATTGACAGACAAGGAAGTTACAATCATATTTGTGCAATCAAAGTTCATTCAAATATATATATATATATATACATTTATGTTAACATTTCCGTCCTCAACGGCCATACCAACTGACTGAAGAGTATTCGGCCCTAACAAGCATTGTGACTTTATACAAATGTTGAGTATTCATAACACAAAACACTTTATCCTGAACTTTGTCTTGTCGAATTTGAAGTCCAATTTCTCTCAGGATATTTATGAGCAATTATCTAGACCAGAAATGAGATTCCGTAACGCACCTCAGACTACGGTTGTCCATATAAGATCCTTGAAGGTACCTTAGCAAAATATATTTACCCAAAGTATATTTTAATTATGATTTTCCAGACAAACAGATGTCGAATATTCAGTATTCAGGAAAGATGAAATAGGAACCAAAGATTGAAAGTAGGATAAATGCATCACAGAGTTTTTGGACACGAAATGAACATAGGAATTGTTTTGTAATTATGTTGTTGTTATATTAAAATGATAGTAAATTTTAATAATGTTAGTTAGACTGCGGGTTCTAATTTTTCAGAAATCAAGTGGTGCAAATGTTTTGCAGCTCCTAGCGAGACAGTCACCACATCTCCTATTATCACTTTTTATTTATACCTTTTTATTAAGTTGAGGTCTTGAAGCGCTTCTCTGAATATATAATATATTATAATAATAATATTATAACTCAAATGGTTTCACGGAAAGATATAGAAAGGCTTGCCCTAAAACCAGCGATGGGTCTCTAAGAACTCAAGAATTAAATTTTTCACATTGATCATTATTTTGTGGATGGTCTCAAGTTTTCGAAAGATTTGAAACCCAATTCCTTCGTTTTGCCATAAAAACCAATTATAGAATGACTTTTGGGTCTATTTTCATTCATGCTATATATGATTATTTTCTAGGGTTCAAACTGGAATTCCGTAGCTAAAAGGTTGTCGATTTTGTTTCATTTTTTGTTTGCTGTTTACTATTTTTTTGAATTTATTTTCCATTCAAAAGTAACATTTTGATAACGTACTTGTCATTGGGCAGCTGTGTCTTATTTATAACTTTATTTTTTGTTTTAGATTCCAATCTAATTTTAGTAATTTAGAAAGCTGAAGCATGAAAAGATTCTTCACATGGAAATGTTTACTATTTGGATTGCTAGTCGTCCATGTCGCTTTTTTCCTTAAAGTAAGTTGTAAATATTTTTATTGCTCTTGAATATGCTTGTTTTCAATATTTTTTTTTGCGTTCATTATGAAAACTAGAGTATGTGCACTATAAGTGTGTTGTGATTAAAATTGTGTGATATTTTCCAATCTAGCTGTGACGACTTCTTTGGCAGAAATAGTACTGAATCTTTAAAATGAAATCATTCATTCAAAAATATATTTGACGTATTTTATCAATTACCTCCAGTTTAAGGAAAAAATTATATTTAGTTATAGCTGACAAAGTGACAATTGACGAAAGACAAAAAAATAATATGTTTATTTTTTATGTGTTTTGTTATGTAGATGAAACATTACCTACACCGGAAATCCGAACATAAACAAGCTCTCAGTGAAGTTGAACTTCGACAAAATTATAGGAAATCAAATCTGCACAATGGGTGTCTTCGATTAGGCTTGCACAAGCCCATGGTGACGCAAACTGATGATATACGCCAAATGCTGCAGCAAGTCAAGTTATTATATTCCGATAAATACAAGGTAAACCCATATGTTTGGACAATATACTCTATGCTTCTGTGCTCTATGCTTTATAATGCACTTCTCGATATCGTAGTTGATTTGGCCTAAGTGGTTAATCTGAATATATATATATATATATATATTGCAAAACTTAATAATTTTATTGTATTATGAAATCACTCATCAAAGTTTTTGAATAACCCTATTTTTATAGTATCAAAAAAGCGTAATCACAAAAGTGGATTGAATACGCAGGTCACTATATATGTAAAAATCCACCGCAATAATTGTTTTAGTATACTAAGGTCAGCATAAGTAGATTGCTGAGGAAATTGTTAAACGCTGAAAATGTTGCTAATGTACGGAACATCGTCCAACGGCGAAGTCGTGCAATATTTAGTAATCACAAATCATTAACCGTATACAAATATTTAAATTCAAGCATCAGTTCGTGACAGACCCTTCTTCGCGAATTACGTATATATTGCGTGCATAGTTCATGCTCATGAACTATGGCGTTTTTTTACTTTACTTTGGTAAATTTTGTTTCAACTGTATTGTATTTTGTTGTAATTTTTCCCCGACCCCGAATGTATTGAAAGTATGGTTTTCTTCCACATTTTTTTTTATAAATACCTATATATAACTTATTTTTTTATTTCAGTTTTTGGTGTGTGAGATTCCTAAATGTGGATGTTCAAGCATAAAGAAATTGCTTCTAATCACGGAAGGTATAGTTAATGAGACAAATCCACAGGCAGTGAAATCATGGCTTGCTCATGAACTTGGCGACAAACATCTGGACTTGAAAAACATCAAAAATGTCACTGAGATTCAGAAGCGACTTGATACGTATCAGAAACTCATCATTGTAAGAGATCCACTGTACAGATTATTATCAGCATATATAAATAAATTAGAGCATGAGTATCCTTGGAATCGGGGATTTGCTAAAATATCAAAATATATTCACCAACAATTTGTAAAAAACGAAACAGAAAAGTTGGCTTCCTTTGGAGAGTTTCTTTCCTACCTAACAGAAGAAAACGAGTATGATAGACACTGGGAACTTTATCACAAACTGTGTTTACCTTGCTCAATATCATACGATTACATTGCTCACATTGAAACCATTGGTGACGACATGGTTGATTTCATGGATAAACTTGCAATTACAAATATAACGTTCCCCCGAAATTACGAAAAGTCAAAACAGACCAACACAGACACATTTGAACGATACATTGGTGAAGTACCAGAAAACCTAGTAAAAGGTATACGCAAAAAGTATAAGACTGACTTCGATCTCTTTGGCTTCAAATAGGAAGGATATAAAATTTCAGATGTAAACAATGAATAATTTGTGCCAAATGCATACGTTAAATTCAACTAACACCTAGCTACTATTTCTCATTATTTGCCAATATCTCAATTATATACTTTACTGATTGGGCATGTTACAGATAATAGACGTGGTTACTGGCGGTGTCTCAAAACTTAATTCGAAACTATAAATAAAAATAAAAACAGTTTTTTACAACACCCAGGCTAGCGTTTATACAATGGGCAACACAATGTAACAATCGGGGTCATTATGACGTTATTTGATAAATGCGAACCTCACATTTATGCCTCAATGTTGTACGGTACCAATACCGTAAACTTGATGCAACTGTCTAGTTCCCAGAAATGTTTTATTAGAAGACACAATTTTGATATCGTTACAACTAGACAGTGGTGGGATTCAGCCGGTTCGCACCGGTTCTATAGAACCGTCTCACGGAATTTTATGAGATCAGCGAACCGGTTAGCATTACTGGTTACTTTCAATGTTCTGTTTGCAACAGAACCGGCTGAAAAATATGACTTTTGTGAAGGAACCGGCTGACAAAAAATTTGAATCCCACCACTGCCACTAGAGAATGCCAGTTCCACTGAAAATTAATGTATTTCTATTGTTATGTATTGCTACTGATCTCCATTATTTGTTTCTTTATTTAGTTTTTGCTTATCCCAAATGTGTTGTAGACCCGATGACGGAGCAATCCGTTCTTCACAACTCCTGTCATTTTCATTTTACTCAAGAACTTTAATGTTGAAACTTATTGATTCAAGTGAAAATTAAAATTACTCTGACTCTGATATGCAGGTGCGGATAATACAGGGGGAAGCACAGAATTTATTTTAGCCGACCATTCGTTATTTTCATTGGTATTTTCAACGAAATTTATACCATAATAGCAACGTGCTATATGACGTTATTCTTTTTCAACTCATGACTGGCTGAAGATGGAAATGTAACAGATTCAAATGTGAACGCTAAATACTGTACTTTTATTATCCCTGTAACGCGAGCGTTCTCACACCTAATTCACCGCAGTATCAGTTACCAGCAGGGTTGCCATACCGTGCTTATTTCTAAGAAATGACCAGATGTTTTGCGTACAAAGCTTGCGTGGAAACGAGCGAGGAACTTTTTCTGTCAACGGTGAGGTTTGGGGTATTTCCAGGCAAACTGTGACACACACAATAGTTGCTGCTAGTTTTTAGGAATACTGTTTTTAGGGACAAACTGCAATTTAGAGTAAGCGGTAAGAGTAACCATGAGTTCTGTTTCGAACATGAAAAGAAATTTTCTATCAACTACTTCTATTGCGACATCGAGAAAGGTGGAAAACAGTAATCGGTGCCCACAATACTACCATAAAAACACATGAAGCATTGCGGGAAACCAAAGTATGAGGACTTTAGATTAGAGGTCGGCCACCTGCGGGTCATATCCGGCACACGGAGTAAAATAATCCGGCCCACAGTGCTTCACTTAAACCTACGGATCGTTATTATGTTATTCTTGTTCTTTATCAATAATTCGTTTTCCAATCTTTATGAAAAAGATCGCTTTTGTTTTCAATTACTTAACCAAAATGAAATTTAATGCGACATTAGGTGACACACTAGATAAAATCAAAATTTTCTAAATGTCTATCACTAATGGAACTTTCCCCGAGCATCGACTTCCTTGTTTACTTCGTGACATTGGCCAATCAGCAAGATGCAAAAAGTGACGTAACAATGCCCCCTTTTCGCATCCGCTCAGACACTTTTCTCACTCAGACAGATTTTCAAGCGTGGTTGTAAACATTACCTTGTTTTCGCGTTTTTGAACTCTATTCGTTAGTTTTCAGTTGAGTTTCGGAAACTAAAATAAAAATCAGATAATTCAATGATCACTCTGTCTTCCTAGGAGTTTTAATTTAATTGCAGTAATAAAAATTAGTGTAGAAATAGCTGTGATAGACTAGGCTAAAGTTCCTTACCGGTACTTTTAAAAAACAGATTGTTGTATGCGATGAATCATAATGATGGTTTGAAACACATACCCCATTTTACAGGCGCCAAATCGCAAAAGCACTCTTAAAATAGCCCTGAAAACTTGGCAATGGTAAAGTATAGGAAGAATTTTCCGGGGGTCAAAGGTCGAGGAAAGGTCCATTAAAGTCCGAAATTTGAAGTTCTAATCTGTATAAATAATGTGCTTCATCTGCCACCCGTTCAGTTTTTAACTTCCTTGAAAAAATATGTGCGGCCCGCCAAGATTCGTAACACTTGGTTTTAGCCCGGGAGCGACAAAAGTTGCCGACCCTTGTCTTAGAGATTGCATGTGGCAGTGACTCCGTGTCTTTCCATAGCTTTTTGCAATTTTGGAGCTGCGTACAACTATGTTCGAAGCGACTTCTAATGATAAAAAGTGGGAGACTCGTGTATGATCTCATTCTATTCTGCGTTTCTGCCGTTGTTAAGACCCCTCCCCTTGAAAAATATCCATTTGACGCCCGTGCTTATTTTTGGTTCTGGGTTGATGGCAACCCTAGTTATCAGTCATCAAAAGTCACTTTCAACAACCTCACGATTCGTCGTTAGAAATTCCATCCACTTCTTCAATTTAGGGATTTTTCGCCTTAACCACCGCACTTTCCGTTGAATAAAATTTCCACTCTTTACTTTTGGGGTCCCCCCCCCCCCCCCCCGATTCCTCATGTACGGCGGCTTCCAGTCCGGTTACCAGTCCATAGAATTAATCAGCCATGTATTTGTTTTAGATGCATGGACTTGATAGTGGGGGAAGCTGTAACCGACCATCGGCTATGCCAGGGGTCGGCAACCTTTTGTCGCTCGCTGGCCAAAATTAGGGGTTACAAGTCTTGACGGGCTGCACATATTTTTCAAAAGTTGAAAACGGAACAGCGGGCGAATACTGCGACTTTTCGTGAACTCAACTCAGTCGTCATATTGAAAGAAAAAAATTACAAATGACATTTCTTGTTGCTGCATCACGCTCGATAGCTTTTCGACATTGACGGCACACTGAATGATACCACGATTGGAACACTTTCTAAATGGGCATTACATAGGGTTACCATATTTTTGTGACTCCAAATCGGGACACCTCAAAAGACAACGACCCCTTAGCTGTAATTTTGTAACTTCACATTTTCCGATTTTACTACATTCCTACATTTAAAGCTGTCTTTATTGACCATATTGTTATCGAAATTTCATGCGCATATTCTCTGTCCAAATATCGGGTTCAGTTCGAAAAATAGGAAGTAATTGACGTTAACGATACCGGTACAAATAATTCGAATTTAGACTAATTAATATTGGTTTTACATGCGATACGTCTGCCATCAATGGGAATCAGCGGAAAACGAACGCATTCACCTTCAGTACGTAGGCTAGCGCTGCGCTACACAGAAACAAAAGTAACGAGAACATGTTTGTGTATTATGCTGAAAAAGCGGGACTTTTGGCTGACTTATCGGGACGGCGGGACAAAACGCTAAAAAGCGGGACTGTCCCGCCTAAAGCGGGGCGTATGGTAAGCCTAGGCTTAGGTCATTGCTTTCCAAGTTTTTGCACTTGGCATCTTGACAAAACTTGCGGTGGTTTTCAACCGGATTTTCGTGGCCCCTTAGGTTCCGCCAGTACAGTTCGATGCTTTTTTTCCATTCAAATACGAGATTCATTTCTCTGATTTAGTTAAGCATACTCGGCCAGGTGAGAACGTTTTTATTTTTATTCAAGTTCAAATAATGGGTGTGGTAGCAAGCAAATATGCACAGTCTGGCGACGTACACGGTTGAAGTATCGCCAAATGTTTAGGTTGTTCTAGTACTACATATTGTATTGTGTACTGATGTTGTGTACCTGTATGAAATATTGGAGAGGACATTAGTAAAATTAGAAAATCATTCTATAGACCAGTGGTTCTTAAACTTTTTGAGCCGCGCCCCCCTTTGAAAAATTTTACACACTTCGCGCCCCCCCCCCCCCCCCCCCCCTCTTTTTGCTTTGAAAAAATACTTTCGTGATGGACAAGTTGTTATATATTAGGATGGCGCTATAACTGAGTGTTGGTCTCATAGCGTCATTGCTCAGATTGTTTAGGCATAAAACGCTTCGGAGTACATCTTCGCCTTTCACTGTCGTATGTATAAAGCCAAATAGTGGTTGGTCATCATACATTCTCGTTTTTCCGCTCAGTTTTCAATACTTGGCAAAGTCAATCTAATTATTAAGTAAAACTAAACAAGCAATAAACCTATGCTTTAATGTATTTTCTGCTTAAACGTTTACATAAGACACGTAAAATTGCAATTAATTGTTGTCGCTAAGGCGTTTGCGATTGCATTTTGTATAAATCTCCATTGTTTACGTCAGCGTGGCGTGTTATTTAAGCCTAAAAAATCTTGATTTCGGTGTTTATTCTTCCTAAATCCGAAATTTCCCTCAACATATTCTTGAGCCGCGAAGACAATTATAATTAATTTTTTTGTTCTCGAATGGAACCATAACGCCTCTGAGGGAAACGAGTTAGTTTTATTATAATCATCAGCGACGAGATGCTAAAGATAGAATAAAGAAGTGAATCCGTAACTTAAAATTTCTTTATTGTAAAAGTGGCATTATAAAATACTAAAAATAAAACGGAAAACGACATGAGTTTTGTTTCGGGGTGGACCGCGACCTTGTAAATAAATTCCTTGTGCGTGCGGCACACCAGTAGTGTTCTAAAACTACAGACTTGATATAAATTTTACTCCGTGGGATCGCAGGAATATCTGTAACTGTGATATCTTGAAATTAATTGAGTGGCGGCATTGCGATAGAGCGGAGTAAGAGTTGCAGGGACAGCTCATATTGGTGAAATTGGCAAGAATACAAATCAAAACAAAATGTAATCGACATTTTTATGGTTGCGGATTACCGTGTTATTTTTGGAGTACTGGTGCTTTTATTTTATCGCCGCAACCGCGAGTTACCTTGAACACAAATGACTTAAAATAGAGAGACATCTTGAATTATTATAGTTATTACGAGAAAGAAAAATTTATTATAACACGAAAAAGCCAGTATTTTTAACGAACGCGGAGACCGTTTCAGGAACCGTTACATGTAAATTTCCGATTACATCTTGTGACCTCTCACGCCCTCCCCTGTGAGCATCTCGCGCCCCCCAGTTTAAGAACCACTGCTATAGACAGTGTCTTGAACGTCCTGCAACATGACAAAAGGAATTGGAAATTCATTGATCGTTACCGTAAAACTGATATTGTCACTATACTATCAAGTTAGAAATTCGATATCATATCTTTGTTCGGTCGGTCCGACGTTCTCAAATATATGTCATCTCAAACACAAAACACGCTAAACTAACTTTTGATTATTGAGGGATCGCAAATGAATGTAGTTGGCTACGAAGTAGATTTGGGTTGTTTTGCAAGATTGTTATTGTTCAGGTTGTCAATTATCTTATTTGTATACTTAACTACTCTCATAGATTTAAAATTACCAGTATTTAAAGAAGGCTATTCTTTTATATGTAAATCGTTGGATACCCAAGTACGTAGGCCTAAACATAAATTTTCCAAATTTCGATTTAACATCATTCATAAGCTAATCCGAGTATTGTATGAATAAATACAAAGAAAATTGACACCCATTACTGACATTTTCCTGTAGAATACAATGAAAAACTAATTTGAAATTATTAAAATACCGTTAATCGCAAATATATATTATATACGGCGTTTCTTTTGTATATTATTTTTATTCAGATTAAAAAGATGTCGTTTTTATTTTGTTTTTGTTAATTATTTTTAGCATTCCATAACTTAGTTGAACGTTACCCTCTACTGTAATTTTTGTTTCTGTTCGGTACATATTGACAACAGATCCATCATTGGGAAGTTCATTTTGCAGTTGCAATCCAGTAGCCTATTTTACATCTATATATCGTACCTATGATGTGCAGGTGCATAACGTCTAGTTACCCCTTAAATCAACATCATTTTATCATGTCTTTAAATTATGGGGTCCCCAACCCCATCCTTAGTGTCAAGCAATCTAATATTGGTTTACATACTTGAAACTTTCGTTATCGAAACAATGGCTAACCTGTTAGAAAATTGTGAATGTCGATCATCCAGACATCCAGCAGCAGTATTAATATTTCGTGCTCATTGCACGGAAGTTACAGACAGGAAAGTTACAGCAAAAACATTTAAAAATTTGATTTTTATACGAAGGTGCATTTATTAAATTTGGCAATCAGAAATATGAATTTTATGCGTATTATGGATGGGTATATCTGCAGGGTATATTATAAATTTGTCACCAATTTAGACGAGTAACAGGTGACCAATTTGAGAAATGTTTGTTTGTAGATGTAGGGAAATCTCTCTGTAAATCCGTACTCGGCAGCTTCACAGAGAAGATAGTACCTAGATCTCTTACTATGTACTGCTGCAGTATTTCTCGAAAAAAAATTTTACCTGTAAGAAAAGTCGCAAAAAAACATCAATAACTGATTAATGGTCAGAACATTAATAAGCCAGTGAGTCAGACAATTCATGTGGTACACGGGAAAGAATAGTTTTAGAGAAATATGTATCCAGTCAAGGAGCAGATGAAGAAGATAGGACACAGGACACAACAGTTAAGAGTAGGAAATATATTACAATGTAATTACATAAAATGACAATAAATATTGCTTCAAAACTGATATTGCCACCACACAGCAATGCGGGATTAAATCTGATTGAATTTTTTTGTTTAGTCGGTCTCAAGTTCTCAAAAGATATGTCATGGAATGTATTCATTGATTCAATTATCCTTCTCGTAAATATGTTTTTTTTTTCTGATGCATACTTTCCCTGTGCAAATCGATGATTCGCGTCTGTATGTATAATAACTGGTTCTCCCACGACGTTTCTGAACCTTATGACCGAATTCCAAATATAAGTTATAAATATGAAATAGTTTCTACTGATTGCTTTAATTGTCAAATTGTGTACGTGATATAAAAGTCTTTGTTTGCCCGAACATTTATACAGGGTGTCTTAAAAGTAAGTATACAGTTTTAAGTTTGCTTTTCAGGTACTCATCATAGGGCGTTCATTTCTTCAGAAAACATAGTATAGATAAGTAGTAAAATTTAGGTATTGTTTGCATTTTTCATCAACCCACAGAATGACAAGGAGATCAACCCAAGAAATTAGGTGCACAATTTCTGTCTGGCAATTAAAAGTGTATAGGGCCAACTTACTTTTGGGACACCCTGTACACTGTAAAATTACCGCTCTCCAACGGAATCTCTATGATGAAAATATTTTCTCAACGATATCCGCTTTGAGAAATTCACTTTCCGCAGCTGCGTCCCTGACAGTGTCGTTGAATTATTTCAAGTCTTGCACCAATAGCTGGCGCTTCTATCTACACGAGAGGAACGTTATGTACACACCAGTCTCATAAGTTTGTGGATATAAAATATATTCCCCTTTCTAATATTAAAATATTTTCAAAATTAGAATATTGACAGACAAGGAAGTTACAATCATATTTGTGCAATCAAAGTTCATTCAAATATATATATATATATATATATATATATACATTTATGTTAACATTTCCGTCCTCAACGGCCATACCAACTGACTGAAGAGTATTCGGCCCTAACAAGCATTGTGACTTTATACAAATGTTGAGTATTCATAACACAAAACACTTTATCCTGAACTTTGTCTTGTCGAATTCGAAGTCCAATTTATCTCAGGATATTTATGAGCTATTATCTAGACCAGAAATGAGATTCCGTAACGCACCTCAGACTACAGTTGTCCATATAAGATCCTTGAAGGTACCTTAGCAAAATATATTTACCCAAAGTATATTTTAATTATGATTTTCCAGGCAAACAGATGTCGAATATTCAGTATTCAGGAAAGATGAAATAGGAACCAAAGATTAAAAGTAGGATAAATGCATCACAAAGTTTTTGGACACGAAATGAACATAGGAATTGTTTTGTAATTATGTTGTTGTTATATTAAAATTTTAATAATGTTAGTTAGACTGCGGGTTCTAATTTTTCAGAAATCAAGTGGTGCAAATGTTTTGCAGCTCCTAGCGAGACAGTCACCACATCTCCTATTATCACTTTTTATTTATACCTTTTTATTAAGTTGAGGTCTTGAAGCGCTTCTCTGAATATATAATATATTATAATAATAATATTATAACTCAAATGGTTTCACGTAAAGATATAGAAAGGCTTGCCCTAAAACCAGCGATGGGTCTCTAAGAACTCAAGAATTAAATGTTTCACATTGATCATTATTTTGTGGATGGTCTCAAGTTTTCAAAATATTTGAAACCCAATTCCTTCGTCTTGCCATAAAAACCAATTATAGAAATGACTTTTGGGTCTATTTTCATTCACGCTATATATGATTATTTTCTAGGGTTCAAACTGGAATTCTGTAGCTAAAAGGTTGTCGTTTTTGTTTCATTTTTTGTTTGCTGTTAACTACATTTTTGAATTTATTTTCCATTCGAAAGTAACATTTTGATAACATATCTGTCATTGGGCAGTTGTGTCTTATTTATAACTTTATTTTTTGTTTTAGATTCCAATCTAATTTTAGTAATTTAGAAAGCTGAAGCATGAAAAGATTCTTCACATGGAAATGTTTACTATTTGGATTGCTAGTCGTCCATGTCGCTTTTTTCCTTAAAGTAAGTTGTAAATATTTTTATTGCTCTTGAATATGCTTGTTTTCAATATTTTTTTTGAGTTCATTATGAAAACTAGAGTATGTGTACTATAAGTGTTATGTGATTAAAATTGTGTGATATTTTCCAATCTAGCTGTGACGATTTCTTTTGCAGAAATAGTACTGAATCTTTAAAATGAAATCATTCATTCAAAAATATATTTGACGTATTTTATCAATTACCTCCAGTTTGGGGAAAAAATTATATTCAGTTATAGTTGACAAAGTGACAATTTGTCGAAAGACAAAAAAAATAATATGTTTATTTTATATGTATTTTGTTATGTAGATGAAACATTACCTACACCGGAAATCCGAACATAAACAAGCTTTCAGTGAAGTTGAACTTCGACAAAATTATAGGAAATCAAATCTGCACAATGGGTGTCTTCGATTAGGCTTGAACAAGCCCATGGTGACGCAAACTGATGATATACGCCAAATGCTGCAGCAAGTCAAGTTATTATATTCCGATAAATACAAGGTAAACTCATATGTTTGGAAAATATACTCTATGCTTCTGTGCTCTATGCTTTATAATGCACTTCTCGATATCGTAGTTGTTTTGGCCTAAGTGGTTAATCTAAATATATATATATTTTGCAAAACTTAATAATTCTATTGTATTATGAAATCACTCATCAAAGTTTTTGAATAACCCTATTTTTATAGTATATATCAAAAAAGCGTAATCACAAAGATGGATTGTATACTCAGGTCACTATATATGAAAAAATCCACCGCAATAATTGTTTTAGTATACTAAGGTCAGCATAAGTAGATTGCTGAGGAAATTGTTAAATGCTGAAAATGTTGCTAATGTACGGAACATCGTCCAACGGCGAAGTCGTGCAATATTTAGTAATCACAAATCATTAACCGTATACAAATATTTAAATTCAAGCATCAGTTCGTGACAGACCCTTCTTCGCGAATTACGTATATATTGCGAGCATAGTTCATGCTCATGAACTATGGCGTTTTTTTACTTTACTTTGGTAAATTTTGTTTCAACTGTATTGTATTTTGTTGTAATTTTTCTCCAACCTCCGACCCCGAATGTATTGAAAGTATGGTTTTCTTCCACATTTTTTTTTATAAATACCTATATATAACTTATTTTTTTATTTCAGTTTTTGGTGTGTGAGATTCCTAAATGTGGATGTTCAAGCATAAAGAAATTACTTCTAATCACGGAAGGTATAGTTAATGAGACAAATCCACAGGCAGTGAAATCATGGCTTGCTCATGAACTTGGCGACAAACATCTGGACTTGAAAAACATCAAAAATGTCACTGAGATTCAGAAGCGACTTGATACGTATCAGAAACTCATCATTGTAAGAGATCCACTGTACAGATTATTATCAGCATATATAAATAAATTAGAGCATGAGTATCCTTGGAATCGGGGATTTGCTAAAATATCAAAAAATATTCACCAACAATTTGTAAAAAACGAAACAGGAAAGTTGGCTTCCTTTGGAGAGTTTCTTTCCTACCTAACAGAAGAAAACGAGTATGATAGACACTGGGAACTTTATCACAAACTGTGTTTACCCTGCTCAATATCATACGATTACATTGCTCACATTGAAACCATTGATGACGACATGGTTGATTTCATGGATAAACTTGCAATTACAAATATAACGTTCCCCCGAAATTACGAAAAGTCAAAACAGACCAACACAGACACATTTGAACGATACATTGGTGAAGTACCAGAAAACCTAGTAAAAGGTATACGCAAAAAGTATAAGACTGACTTCGATCTCTTTGGCTTCAAATAGGAAGGATATAAAATTTCAGATGTAAACAATGAATAATTTGTGCCAAATGTATACGTTCAATTCAATTAAAACCTAGCTACTATTTCTCATTATTTGCCAATATCTCAATTATATACTTTACTGATTGGGCATGTTACAGATAATAGACGTGGTTACTGGCGGTGTCTCAAAACTTAATACGAAACTATAAATAAAAATAAAAACAGTTTTTTACAACACCCAGGCTAGCGTTTATACAATAAGCAACACAATGTAACAATCGGGGTCATTATGACGTTATTTGATAAATGCGAACCTCACATTTATGCCTCAATGTTGTACGGTACCAATACCGTAAACTTGATGCAACTGTCTAGTTCCCAGAAATGTTTTATTAGAAGACACAATTTTGATATTGTTACAACTAGACAGTGGTGGGATTCAGCCGGTTCGCACCGGTTCTATAGAACCGTCTCACGGAATTTTATGAGATCAGCGAACCGGTTAGCATTACTGGTTACTTTCAATGTTCTGTTTGCAACAGAACCGGCTGAAAAATATGACTTTTGTGAAGGAACCGGCTGACAAAAAATTTGAATCCCACCACTGCCACTAGAGAATGCCAGTTCCACTGAAAATTAATGTATTTCTATTGTTATGTATTGCTACTGATCTCCATTATTTGTTTCTTTATTTAGTTTTTGCTTATCCCAAATGTGTTGTAGACCCGATGACGGAGCAATCCGTTCTTCACAACTCCTGTCATTTTCATTTTACTCAAGAACTTTTATGTTGAAACTTATTGATTCAAGTGAAAATTAAAATAACTCTGACTCTGATATGCAGGTGCGGATAATACAGGGGGAAGCACAGAATTTATTTTAGCCGACCATTCGTTATTTTCATTGGTATTTTCAACGAAATTTATACCATAATAGCAACGTGCTATATGACGTTATTCTTTTTCAACTCATGACTGGCTGAAGATGGAAATGTAACAGATTCAAATGTGAACGCTAAATACTGTACTTTTATTATCCCTGTAACGCGAGCGTTCTCACACCTAATTCACCGCAGTATCAGTTACCAGCAGGGTTGCCATACCGTGCTTATTTCTAAGAAATGACCAGATGTTTTGCGTACAAAGCTTGCGTGGAAACGAGGGACGAACTTTTTTCTGTCAACGGTGAGGTTTGGGGTATTTCCAGGCAAACTGTGACACACACAATAGTTGCTGCTAGTTTTTAGGAATACTGTTTTTAGGGACAAACTGCAATTTAGAGTAAGCGGTAAGAGTAACCATGAGTTCTGTTTCGAACATGAAAAGAAATTTTCTATCAACTACTGCTATTGCGACATCGAGAAAGGTGGAAAACAGTAATCGGTGCCCACAATACTACCATAAAAACACAAGAAGCATTGCGGGAAACCAAAGTATGAGGACTTTAGATTAGAGGTCGGCCACCTGCGGGTCATATCCGGCACACGGAGTAAAATAATCCGGCCCACAGTGCTTCACTTAAACCTACGGATCGTTATTATGTTATTCTTGTTCTTTATCAATAATTCGTTTTCCAATCTTTATGAAAAAGATCGCTTTTGTTTTCAATTACTTAACCAAAATGAAATTTTCCTTGCGAAGAACTAGGATGACTTCGTACTAGGATGACTTCGTAGCCTACGTACTGAAGGTGAATGCGTTCGTTTCCCGCTGATTCCCATTGATGGCAGACGTATCGCATGTAAAACCAATATTAATTAGTCTAAATTCGAATTATTTGTACCGGTATCGTAAACGTCAATTACTTCCTATTTTTCGAACTGAACCCGATATTTGGACAGAGAATATGCGCATGAAATTTCGATAACAATATGGTCAATAAAGACAGCTTTAAATGTAGGAATGTAGTAAAATCGGAAAATGTGAAGTTACAAAATTACAGCTAAGGGGTCGTTGTCTTTTGAGGTGTCCCGATTTGGAGTCACAAAAATATGGTAACCCTATGTAATGCCCATTTAGAAAGTGTTCCAATCGTGGTATCATTCAGTGTGCCGTCAATGTCGAAAAGCTATCGAGCGTGATGCAGCAACAAGAAATGTCATTTGTAATTTTTTTCTTTCAATATGACGACTGAGTTGAGTTCACGAAAAGTCGCAGTCTTCGCGCGCTGTTCCGTTTTCAACTTTTGAAAAATATGTGCAGCCCGTCAAGACTTGTAACCCCTAATTTTGGCCAGCGAGCGACAAAAGGTTGCCGACCCCTGGCATAGCCGATGGTCGGTTACAGCTTCCCCCACTATCAAGTCCATGCATCTAAAACAAATACATGGCTGATTAATTCTATGGACTGGTAACCGGACTGGAAGCCGCCGTACATGAGGAATCGGGGGGGGGGGGGGGGGGGATCAAATTTTATTCAACGGAAAGTGCGGTGGTTAAGGCGAAAAATCCCTAAATTGAAGAAGTAGATGGAATTTCTAACGACGAATCGTGAGGTTGTTGAAAGTGACTTTTGATGACTGGTAACTAGGGTTGCCATCAACCCAGAACCAAAAATAAGCACGGGCGTCAAAATGATATGCCACATGCAATCTCTAAGACAAGGGTCGGCAACTTTTGTCGCTCCCGGGCTAAAACCAAGTGTTACGAATCTTGGCGGGCCGCACATATTTTTTCAAGGAAGTTAAAAACTGAACGGGTGGCAGATGAAGCACATTATTTATACAGATTAGAAATTCAAATTTCGGACTTTAATGGACCTTTCCTCGACCTTTGATCCCCGGAAAATTCCTCCTATACTTTACCATTGCAAAGTTTTCGCGGCTATTTTAAGAATGCTTTTGCGAGGTGGCGCCTATAAAATGGGGTATGTGTTTCAAACCATCATTATGATTCATCGCATACAACAATCTGTTTTTTAAAAGTACCGGTAAAGAATTTCAGGCTAATATATCACAGCTATTTCTACAATAATTTTTATTACTGCAATTAAATTGAAACTCCTAAGAAGACGGAGTGATCATTGAATTATCTGATTTATATTTAAGTTTCCGAAACATAACTGAAAACTAACGAATAGAGTTCAAAAATGCAAAAACAAGGTAATGTTTACAACCACGCTTGGAAATCTGTCTGAGTGAGAAAAGTGTCTGAGCGGATGCGAAAAGGGGCATTGTTACGTCACTTTTTGCATCTTGCTGATTGGCCAATGTCACGAAGTAAACAAGGAAGTCGATGCTCGGGGAAAGGTTCATTAGTGATAGACATTTAGAAAATTTTGATTTTATCTAGTGTGTCACCTAATGTCGCATTAAATGTTATTTGTAAATATTTTGTATAACAAGAGAGCTATGCTCAAATATATGGACACGTAGAGTCACATAATTTTGATGACGTCATAGCGAAAAAAAAAGTAATAGCCTTCTGGAGAAAATTTTTATCTTTAACCACTGAAAATTTCAAAGCAATTGGTCCAGTATTCGAAGAGAAAAGCGACTTTTTAAAAACGTGTCAAAGAACAAGAACAACAACATAATATTGAAACGATCGTTATGTCCACTACGTGTCCAATAAGACGACTTGAGTTCACGAGTTATCGCAGTGTTCGCTCGCTATGGACCTTTCCCCGAGCATCGACTTCCTTGTTTACTTCGTGACATTGGCCAATCAGCAAGATGCAAAAAGTGACGTAACAATGCCCCCTTTTCGCATCCGCTCAGACACTTTTCTCACTCAGACAGATTTTCAAGCGTGGTTGTAAACATTACCTCGTGTTCGCATTTTCGAACTCTATTTGTTAGTTTTCAGTTGAGTTTCGGAAACTAAAATAAAAATCAGATAATTCAATGATCACTCTGTCTTCCTAGGAGTTTTAATTTAATTGCAGTAATAAAAATTAGTGTAGAAATAGCTGTGATAGACTAGGCTAAAATTCCTTACCGGTACATTTAAAAAAACAGATTGTTGTATGCGATGAATCATAATGATGGTTTGAAACACATACCCCATTTTACAGGCGCCAAATCGCAAAAGCACTCTTAAAATAGCCCTGAAAACTTGGCAATGGTAAAGTATAGGAAGAATTTTCCGGGGGTCAAAGGTCGAGGAAAGGTCCATTAAAGTCCGAAATTTGAATTTCTAATCTGTATAAATAATGTGCTTCATCTGCCACCCGTTCAGTTTTTAACTTCCTTGAAAAAATATGTGCGGCCCGCCAAGATTCGTAACACTTGGTTTTAGCCCGGGAGCGACAAAAGTTGCCGACCCTTGTCTTAGAGATTGCATGTGGCATATCATTTTGACGCCCGTGCTTATTTTTGGTTCTGGGTTGATGGCAACCCTAGTTACCAGTCATCAAAAGTCACTTTCAACAACCTCACGATTCGTCGTTAGAAATTCCATCTACTTCTTCAATTTAGGGATTTTTCGCCTTAACCACCGCACTTTCCGTTGAATAAAATTTGATCCCCCCCCCCCCCCCCCCCCCCCGATTCCTCATGTACGGCGGCTTCCAGTCCGGTTACCAGTCCATAGAATTAATCAGCCATGTATTTGTTTTAGATGCATGGACTTGATAGTGGGGGAAGCTGTAACCGACCATCGGCTATGCCAGGGGTCGGCAACCTTTTGTCGCTCGCTGGCCAAAATTAGGGGTTACAAGTCTTGACGGGCTGCACATATTTTTCAAAAGTTGAAAACGGAACAGCGCGCGAAGACTGCGACTTTTCGTGAACTCAACTCAGTCGTCATATTGAAAGAAAAAAATTACAAATGACATTTCTTGTTGCTGCATCACGCTCGATAGCTTTTCGACATTGACGGCACACTGAATGATACCACGATTGGAACACTTTCTAAATGGGCATTACATAGGGTTACCATATTTTTGTGACTCCAAATCGGGACACCTCAAAAGACAACGACCCCTTAGCTGTAATTTTGTAACTTCACATTTTCCGATTTTACTACATTCCTACATTTAAAGCTGTCTTTATTGACCATATTGTTATCGAAATTTCATGCGCATATTCTCTGTCCAAATATCGGGTTCAGTTCGAAAAATAGGAAGTAATTGACGTTTACGATACCGGTACAAATAATTCGAATTTAGACTAATTAATATTGGTTTTACATGCGATACGTCTGCCATCAATGGGAATCAGCGGGAAACGAACGCATTCACCTTCAGTACGTAGGCTAGCGCTGCGCTACACAGAAACAAAAGTAACGAGAACATGTTTGTGTATTATGCTGAAAAAGCGGGACTTTTGGCTGACTTATCGGGACGGCGGGACAAAACGCTAAAAAGCGGGACTGTCCCGCCTAAAGCGGGGCGTATGGTAAGCCTAGGCTTAGGTCATTGCTTTCCAAGTTTTTGCACTTGCCATCTTGACAAAACTTGCGGTGGTTTTCAACCGGGTTTTCGTGGCCGCTTAGGTTCCGCCAGTACAGTTCGATGCTTTGTTTCCATTCAAATACGAGATTCATTTCTCTGATTTAGTTAAGCATACTCGGCCAGGTGAGAACGTTTTTATTTTTATTCAAGTTCAAATAATGGGTGTGGTAGCAAGCAAATATGCACAGTCTGGCGGCGTACACGGTTGAAGTATCGCCAAATGTTTAGGTTGTTCTAGTACTACATATTGTATTGTGTACTGATGTTGTGTACCTGTATGAAATATTGGAGAGGACATTAGTAAAATTAGAAAATCATTCTATAAACCAGTGGTTCTTAAACTTTTTGAGCCGCGCCCCCTTTGAAAAATTTTACACACTTCGCGCCCCCCCCCCCCTCTTTTTGCTTTGAAAAAATGCTTTCGTGATGGACAAGTTG